GTGTTTGTTCTCGTGTTGTTGTGGATTACACTCAAACCCACAGTGAGTCACACCCCTGCTCACTTCACTGCAGACTCACATTCTCAGTCATCCAAAAGACACGTTTGGATGGCGGTCGGGTTCAGCATGCGGTCACGGTTTATTTGAATTTGTTTACATCTCACAGAGATGAACAGTTCAGAAATGTTGGCCTTTGTGTAAATTATGGAGGAATTAAGAAAGGAGTCGGACGAATTTGCATGAATATAAATTAAGTGTTGACGCAACATTTATATGGTTTCATTTGCTGAAAATGAAATGTGCAATGTGCTAAACTTGAGCCAAACATAACTGCCCTTGTTCTCTCTGATTGCACAGTGTGATGTACTGAGAGACACAAGACACCATTTCAAGCGTTTTCTTGCAAAACATAACCATTACTAGAGGTTAAGTCTTATTGGAAGGGCATGGCGCTGCAACCATAAAATTATTTCATTTTAAGAATAAAAAAAATAAAAAAATGGTTTCTCCATTTAAAGCCAGACTCCATGTGGAGTTCACCGATACATTTCTTATTGTATTGAGTACATTCAAGCACAACAACTTCCCATTGGTCTGAGCCAGAAAAATATGGTTTGAAATGGGAATTGTGTGCATTATCCAAAAAGTCTTGGTGATATCTTTTAAATCAAGCAGAGCATTTAAGGACAGTACGTTATTAAACTGAACTAGTATAAGACTAAAATAATTGCAACGGTTAAAAAGTATGTTATTTTATTTCCATGATTCCTTCCTGATGATGTCATTAATATTCTGGATTCTACTCTCAATCTTCTGAGTAAATCATGATGTCTTTTAAAGTGTGAATGGGACCTCCAGGCTGCAGATTTGTGAAGAATCTTTCACATCACAAGCTTAACAGAATTTGAAATTAACCAAACGGCATCAGACGGCCAGCTGCTGCGCTTGAAAATGTCCTCCAACAATTCAAGGAAGATGAAAGAAATCGATGATGGTAAACATTTGATTTCATCATTCTTTCTCACTTTTCTTTTTGAAAGAGAGTTCATTCAGAGTTGGTTGATGCTAGTTTGACCTCACAGCTCAATCTACCTGCTCAGCCTCCATGAACACCTCGTGTTGAAGAGGAGTCTCTGCTTCTGTATTATTTATGGAGCATCTCTGTGTTCCTTCATGTAAACCGATCGTCCGGAGCTGTAAGGACGGTGCAGTTGTTTTGTTTGTGCTTTATTCCCTGAGAGTTCTCGTCTTTCACTGCAGCTGAGCTGAGATAACGCTCTAAATATAGAGCAGGGTGCAGAGACTCAGAGGCCTGTGCACTCAAGTCGATGTGTCAGGAAGGCTCATGAATCCTTTTTGTTCTTGAAGCCCAAAATTCTTGAAGTCACTCATAGCCAGCACAAATCACACAGTGGTATATATGAAAGAAATTCAATCTTGTAGCTGATTTTCTTTTTTTGCTTTTTGTTTTTTCAGATTATTTTTGGGCTTGTTATTTGTTTATTTTAGAGATAGGACAGTAGAAAGGACCACAGAGAGAGAGAGAGTGGGGAACGACATGCGGGAAAGGACCAACAGGTCGGATTCGATCCCTGCGCTGTCATCGCATGAACCAGTGCTGGTCAAGTAAAACCAAACTCTATCAGTGGCAAAAGTCTGCATGGGAGGTGACAGAAATGTTCCTTAATTCTCTATGTTGCATCACACTAATCTTTGATATGATAATGATCTGTTGGACACAGAGATATAATGAGTGAAAAACAGATTGTACATGAATGTTTAAAATAAATACCTACTCAAATGTCTCCAAAAAAGTGCCTATACATGTTTACCAACAATCAACCTGAGGAACTTTTTTCAACTTTGAGCGAGTGGAAGGTTTGAAAAGTCAAAAATGCCGTTCTGACAGTAAAATGTAAATTCTGAAGTTCATCAACTTTGAAGGTCATATTTCGGGCAGCTTTTCTGTCAGCGATAATAAGATTTTACTATTATCTAAAAATTATTTTTTTAAAGACAAGGAACTTATGGGAGGACAATTGGCACTTACATTTTGCCATTCAAGAAGGGATGTTTACACCCCTGTTACCCCTTCGTCTGCAATGTGTAACGCACACAGGATGCAAAACCAAGTTCGGCCCCTGAGCCGAAAGAGCCAACAGGGCAGAACAGTGCTGTGTGTGTGTGTGTGTGTGTGTGTGTGTGTGTGTGTGTGTGTGTGTGTGTGCATGTGCATGTGAAACACTAAGACTAACGGTGAAATGTGGTCACTCTAAATACCACCGACATACAGTATACTCACCTCTGAGTGCTGTGAGTGTGGGTGTCATGCTCTTTGCTCCACTTGTAAGCATGAGAGTCCTGCCCTGAAAAAGATCATTAACAAGTGGGTCAGATGTACAAGGTAACTTATTGATAGCTGTATTGCAAAGAAAATGCCAAAATCTTGTTTCATGGTTTTATTTTTGGTATAGTCTTCTAAAATGACCCTCTATATTGTAAGTAGTTTGTACACTGAGTTGAATGTTCAACCAGTGTATGTCAAACTCTAAACCAACCCTCATTGGTCCTGCAGTTGTTCATGGCGTGATTTATTCCTAACACCTCCACAGCTGATTGTGACAGATTGAGCAATATGCTTTCAACTCTCGGCCTAATCGAGACAACTCCGATGGGTTTTCTTTTTTCCCCTTTAGCATCGCAAAATGCTTCTTTGATTAATTCACCATGAAGCAGTTGTTAAAGACTGACTAGTTAATCATTATCATCTGTTGTGCTGAGTCAATCTGATGCTGGTAGAAACTCATCTTTCATGTGAACCCGCATAAACATATGATCTTTTCTATATGGAAAACAGTCTCTGCTGTTCCTCTGAGGAATTCATTTCCGTTAAAGCCTTTATATGTGATTTTTTGATCCAGCAGATGTCGCCCTTGAGCACCAGCATGAAACCAAAACAACTCGCGCTGCATTGTTGTGTTAGCATGCTAATGCTAGCGATCTTTATTCTGCTCGTATCTTCACACTGCATGTAAATTTACCCAAAATGACCATGATTTAGAAACACAGTTAAGCAGTGAGTACAGTATGTTATTCTTCTTTTCTCTAGTCCCTCAATTAAACAACTTTTATTCGCGAGGGGAGGAGCTGGTCGGCTGTCCCGGCGATGTAAACAAAATGTAGCTATGGCTAGGAAAACTCGGAAAGCATCACAGACAGCGGGACTCGGGTGTTACACCCATTGTAGACAGTCATGACTCAGAGTTATTTTCAGAGGATATACTTGATTTCTATTATATTTAAGTGTGAAAAATCACAAATTAAGCCTTTTCAGTGTTTTTTTTATTTTTTTTTTACCTTTGAGGTGAACAGCTTGAATTTCGAAAGGCAGGCTTGGCTTTGCCAGAACACTCCATCATACCACCCTTTCTGTATCGTAAGAACAGGAATGTGCCTGACAGTTTCTGGTATCTATGATATATATTATTCTTGTATTCTTATTGAGTTATGTTACACTTATCCATACTTCTAAGGTATGGATATACTTCTAAGGTGCATCTATACTCCTTTTAATGATTGGATTGGACAGTCTTATCTTTGGCCCAGCTGCTTGGGATTTATGATAATATGGTTGTGTCCTTATTCACACCCACACTTTTGGAGGGTATGTTTTTATTCCCTTCAATTCCAATAGATAATAACTCAATGGTAATCAAATCTCTCACCCTTGAACTTGTATTACCTAGTTGAACGATTGTTGAAAGAGTGTGGATCAAACTGAATTTTTGTATTTGTTCTTTCAGAAAAGGTTGTTGGCATCTATTTTTAGAGCTCTGACACAAGAGCTGCTGCAGACCCTGTGCTAACTGCATCATTCAAACCACAACCCAGCCAACAAAGCCATCGTAGCCCAGTAGTCTTAACTGTGGTGCAAAATTGTGCAGCAATTGTGTGCAGCATTCATATCGAAAAAAACATGATGACAATCATGTGTAAGGATGCGTGTGTTTTCTTACCACTGTAACCTTTGCTGCTTTACTAAAGTGCTCATGATGGATAGGCCGGATCTTTGTAACATAGCAATGAGTACGGTCTTTTTACCTGCTCTTTTGTAATGTTAACAGACAAAGAGTAAGGTATTTTACCTGCTTTTTGTAAAGTGTCTCGAGATAACACTTGTTATGAGTTGACACTATACAAATAAAAATTGATTGATTGATTGATTGATTGATGTGTGTGTGTGTGTGTGTGTGTGTGTGTGTGTGTGTGTTTTTGTGTGTGTGTTTGTGTGTGTGTTTGTGCAGCCTGCAGAGCACTCCAGCATTGTGCACAGCTGAACATCAGCATGCTCTCACACAGGATTAAACTCTTCCAATATTAACAAGCACAACGTTTTAACGTCACTGTTTTCAATGTGCACACTTAAACAAGACTTTAAAAACATTATGCTACATTTACTTCAGTCTTCTAACTTTATGGTCAAGCAAATCCAAACAAAAACTTTTCTTTAAAGTCATGTTGGCACATATTGATATGACAGACACTGTGGGGAATCCTGTTATGTTGTTTAGCTGAAATAAATGAGACAACCTCACCATCTGCTAATTAGAATTTCTTATAAAGAAATTAAAGTTTTCTCGCTTGGTAGCTTTGTAACTCAGCCGTAACATCTGTTATTCCTCTATAGATGAAACTCCCAAGAGATTAAAAGCCCACACAGACTGCCGACACTGATGTATGCAAACTGTTCATGTTGTTATACCTGTGTTGTAGTTGTTAGAGTCTTGCTTGTTTGTAAAGCGGTAGCAAAGAGCAGTAAGAGCCTGATCAACTATGACATTTAAATAGTTCCATAGGCTTACGCTGGAATCAGTTCACATTCATGTGTAATCACACAGATTTTTTCATGTGAGCTTTATCTTCTACATTATCGATCTACCGTATTGAATGTTGAGGATTCTCGGTTGACTGGTTGTTTTCTTCTTTGTGTCCGTCCACAGATGGCTTCAGCAACAGCGACCTACGGGCAGAAGGAGTCCTCGGATCAAAACTTTGACTACATGTTCAAGATCCTCATCATCGGCAACAGCAGCGTGGGAAAAACCTCCTTCTTGTTCCGCTATGCCGACGACTCCTTCACGCCGGCCTTCGTCAGTACAGTGGGCATAGACTTTAAGGTTAAGACCATCTACAGGAACGACAAGAGGATCAAATTACAGATCTGGGTGAGGCAAAAATTTAAATCTACCCAAACTCCAGTCTTCTGGGTGAAAGTACTGTGTTTGTGTGAACCATGATGCTTAATTTACCACTCTTCTGATTTCTTCCAATTGTAACAAGACTCCTCTGCCTAATGTAAATATATGGGTCCTTCAAGCTTACTATAACTCATTAATCAGCCATTTAGGAGCTCCAGTCTGGCCCTATTTCCTTACATACAAGAACATTCTGTGGGATCACAGACTAAAGGGAACATGCTTGATTGTTTTTCTTCACTACGTTCTTCACATAAGCTGGTTGGCTTTACTTCCTCCCTTATCTTACAGATGTAGAAAGTCAACAATTTCCCATGACAAGCTTCTTTTTCGCTGTGGTCTGTATGTGTTTCCAACTTTCTGTCTGGAATGCCACCATGCTTCGAGTGCATTTGTCTCCTGTTTCCTCTGTGTTTTGTTAGATAATTTCGTCTAACAAATATGAATGATGATATCTTTTTTAATTTTTTCTTAACTATTTCTGTAATAAAATGTTTAGCCCACATCTGATGGAAACTCTGATGAAAGAACACAGCACTTGATACTCTCATGAATGTTAGTCATTATTTTTAAATATCTAAACATACAGCAAATAAAATTTGACAAGATATTTATTAACATTTTGAATAGAGTTATGTTTCTGTCTTTGGAACAACAGAGAGTTAGGGGCGCTGTTGGCGCAGTGGTTAGTGCGTGCAGGCCTCCAAGCAGGTGGCCCAGGTTCAAATCCAATCTGTGGCTCCTTTCGCACGTCATTCCTCACTCTCTCTCTCTCCCTGATTTCTGACTGTATCCACTGTCCTATCTTTCGAATAAAGGCACAAAAAGCCCCAACAAAAAAAGAACAACAGACAGATATAGAAACTGTCAGTCATATATACTGTTCAATTTTGTGTTTATCGCAATTTATATTGTTATAGCAATATTGAATAATGCTATTGGACATTGCATAATTTTCTTATATCTTTCAGGCCATCTACACAGACACACGTACACATTTTCATGCAGCGCCACCCTCTCTGCATCCTTGGACATTATCAGTAGATTAGGATCAATATAAGTAATGACATGACATGATTCCTTCTGAGGGTAAACACAATCATAGAGCAGAGTAAAGACAGCAGACTGTAACGATGTACATTCAGCCTTTACTACACTTTCTGTAGTGTGTGTGTGTGTGTGTGTGTGTGTGTGTATGTGTGTGTGTGTGTGTGTGTGTGTGTGTGTGTGTGTGTGTGTGTGTGTTCTATGTGAGATGCCAGGTCTTGCTTCTGGTTAGGAGGACACAATCGTCCAATCGGAGCAAGAGAAACAAATGCTCTCCCTTCCCCCACTACTAAACATTTCCCTTGCACACACATACACACACACAGACACACACAGACACACACACACACACACACACACATTCACACCCATCCCCCACCCATCTGCAGCTCTCTCAGTTGATATTCCAGTAGAAGAAAAAATGAAAATGGTCAACGCATATGGATGAAAATGTATAATGTGTATTTAAAAAGTATGCAGTTAAACCTATTTAACAAGATCTTTGTGAATGCAACTTATTATGTGGAGTGGAGTAGTATGTATAAATAGGTTAGTTACTCTTAGATGTGAAAGATATGTAAAAAAAGCATTTGACAAGCACCGAAATATTTTATGTACAACTATCTAAGATAGAGTAAATCAGCACATTACTACAATAGTTTGCAAATAGAATGATCATTTATTATGGAAATTTAAAAAAATGTTTCTGCAGCAGTTAAATGGGACACTATCACATGTATTAAATAATCTTGTGAGATCAATAAATAATACCATAAATATCCACACAACATGCAGAGTGTTATCCAGCTCTTCAGTATCATACTACAGTTCTACCAACACCACAGTATTTATTACTCCAGTTTATGTTGCTTTTGCAGACTGTTATTCTGGTAGACGCTTAATGTCTTTTTCTTTCTTTTGGGATCAGTCATACAGGCAGGGAAATGTCTATATGTTTACAGCTTTAACCTCTTTCAGGGTGCATGCTAGCACAAAGGATGAGTAGTTCATTGTGTTCGTTACATAACAGCTTCAAGTGCTACCTACAATGACATCTTATAGGGCTGATGCTCTCATCTTGAGTGGCCTGCAGAAATGTGGATGTCAAGGACGTGAACTGCGGTCACAGAACATTATAATAAACAATATGGAGTTTCAGTTATCCTAGAATAGATGTCACACAATAATCTTGTGATTTGAGAGAATGATTACGCGCGAGTAAAAGAGAAACATTGACGAGGCAAAAAGAAGAAAAGATATTCTGTATCAGTGTTCAGGAAGTTCTCATCATCTTTTCTTTTTTTTCTTTTTTTTTTTACATTCTGAATTTATCCTGAGGGGAAATTCAGTCAACATCCATGGATCCACTTTGTCATAGCATGTAGACAGTGTATGTGATATGTGTAGTATAATATGTCTATAGTACTATTAGAAGTATGGATGTTTTTATACATGCTAATGGCTTTTACTACCCAAAAGTAGTACTCCCTCATATTTTTCTCGGTTGCTTTAGACAGCCTGTGGGATTATTTTTATATAAAGTAACCTATTTGAGATATATTATCCCCCAGAAAATCTGGGAAAATGACTTATATTCATCGACTGAGCCTTCCCTGTTTTTAGCTCTCATTTAGCACCATCATTAGAAACGTTACCTTAGAAAATGAGTTTATGAAAGAGTAGCACCCACCGCGAAACAATCCAACACAAAGCACAAAAAGTTTATCAAGCAAAAAGTTAGATTTGGTCTGTACAAACAGGATGTCAGGGGAATGTTAGGGACAACGCTGCCAGAACTATAAAACCATTGGGGAGTATTTGTTTGGTTTTCTAAGATTAGCTTAGCCTGCTTGCTACAGCAGAAGAATTTTGTCTCGCTAACTTAAAAAATACTGCTCAGAGTGGGTAACATTAACTTATACAGCCATACTTCAGGAATAAATTATAAGGCTGTTAAATAGGCTAGCTTGCTTTTAGAAATCATTAACACAACATTAGAAAATGTTAAAAAAAAAAAAAAAGCATGCAATGCAGGATTGATGCACTGATAGCATCAACTCTGTTATTGCTAGACAAACCCTGAGTTGATCAAGTGAAAATAATTCATTCACTTCTCCCTACACACTCTATAGCGAGTTCAATAGATAACATGAGCTCGAGACAAAATTGAAAAAACTCGTTTGAACACTGTCTGGGTCATTTTCTGTCCTCAATATAATGACATCCCTGCTTTTATTACGCAGTGCTTGACAGTAAATAGTCTAATGATGGGTGGGTATCATTGGGTTGATCACTGCTTTTCACCATGCATTGTGGGATAATGCGATATGTAGGGCATTTATATTTTAAGTAAACCACCAAATTGCAAGTTCACTATATATTGGAGTAGGCTACAGTGAGAAGCACCAATGGTTTTATTTTAGCCAAATATAAATGTTGAAAAAGTACAAAGCAAAGGTATAAAACTCACATCCTGCATGTTTGATCACATTCAGTCTTGTATCATGTCACTGGTTTGGCAAATACCCTATAGTGCGCCCTTTAGCCTATAAAGTGCAAACAATAGCAAAAGGGATGGGAGCTGTACTTCAATTAATGGTCACTGGTGTCATCATGGTAATGATTTTCTTTGAAGCACCCATGTTTGGCACACTTTGAGCGATGTTGGACCAGAGGCTGCTCGTCTCATAGAGAGACTCAGGGTGTTAGGTGTCGCAAACATGGTGCTTTAATTCCCTGAGCATTCATTAGAACTTAGCACTGAAATTCAGTCTCACCTGCGTTGGCTGCCAAGAAGAGATGCAGGGAGAGTAAAGGAGGATAAGCCAGGAACATTTTTTGGCAAATGTTGCTTTAACTTACAGATTCACCTTTTGGCATGTTTGTGTATGTGGTTGTCATATATCTTAAGGCTAACTAGACTCTTTCCACACAGGTCTCAATATTGTATATTTAAAATGCAGTTATTGTGGCAACCCTAGTTGTGAGTTGTATACCCTGCTGGAGAGATGTGCATGTTTTTCATGTTTTCTATGTTAGTAAGTAAGTAAGTTAATTTATATAGCACTTCTCACAGACAAAGGTCACAAAGTGCTTAACTTCAACAAAAAACAACAACAGCAGTGCCTATTTTGTCTTTTTTTGTGTTAGATTTTGAATCAGATTCTATGGTTTTAATTAATAGAAAAGTTAAGATGCAGTTTGCAGTTCAATGTTTAAAACCTTGGTGCTAAATGTATGGATTTTTTTTAATATAATCTGCCAGAACTCACCGTATAACAGAGTTCCCAGGACAGAGTTCATAAAACATTTCTCTCCCTTCTTTTTTTCTCCAGGACACGGCAGGTCAGGAGCGTTACCGCACTATCACCACGGCCTACTACAGAGGAGCCATGGGCTTCATCCTCATGTACGACATCACCAACGAGGAGTCCTTCAATGCCGTCCAGGACTGGTACGTGATTGGTTAGAATTACCAGAGCGTAAACTGACACCTCAGAGCTTTACCTTTGAGAGCGAGCGCTGTGTAGATAATGGATCAAGTGGTACCTATAATCAGCAGCAGTCTGGAAATAGATGTAGAGATACGGGAGATTGATTAGCCGAGGAGACGATCGGGGTTCGGGTTTCTGTTTGTATTGTTTGAAGGGCCACAGCTTCCTTTGTGTCTGCAGATCAGCCGGATGCTGCAGAGATCATAATCCTTGTCCTTTGTGTCCCCTGTTGGGACTTTGCTTCGCTGTGTCTTTGCTGGAAAGTTACTCAATTATCTCTACACACAATTTCAAAATCTATCTTCATATTATATTTACACTCATTTATAGCAATGTTTAGGTTCAATTTATTTCAGCCTTTTACTCTTTTCGTCATTGGACACAGCTTTTACTCTCGATCTACACTTCACTTTCTCATTAAGAAGACAATACTACAAAACTTGTTCACTGCAGAACATGAAACTGAGAGCCGATCATTGTTCACTGCAGAACATGAAACTGAGAGCCGATCATTTCAGTCATACATAAAGACTGTTTTGTAGCTTGTCCTTAAACAACAGCATTAGCACCACAGGGTAAGATTTAACATTTACTTTTATTGATCCCCGCAAGGGGTAATTCTGTTTTTACACTCTGTTAATCATGCAACACACACATAGGAAATATACACACATGCACAAACAGGATCCTATGGACATGCACTAATGGAGAAATGTCAGGGTGACGGTGCTGCCCACAGCGGAGCGCTGCTGAGCTGGTGGTGGGGAGGGGGTTTCAGCTACCAGACCAACTTCCATATTTGGTCTGCACCGGGACTTGAATCGGCGACCCGCCGGTTCCCAACCCAGGTCCCTACAGACTGAGCTACTGTCGCCCAATACTATATATATATATATATATATATATATATATATATATATATATATATATATATATATATATATATATATATATATATACTCTATAAATATATATGGGTATAAGGGTATAAATACTCTGAAAGAAGTTTAGAAATCAGGACTTGTAACAGTCTTATCCTTAACTAAAAAATTATTATTAATTTTGGGATTATATTTTATAGAAAGAATCTGAACACACAGCAGAAGAATGGGGACAGAAATGCACGACATTTTAACAAAATTGCATCAAACCACATGCCTAAAAATTCTGACTTTTTTCATGTTATAACTAATTTCAAATTCAGTCGGATTCTCCCAGCTCTGAGTGAAGCACATGATTTCCCTCAGTCTGTCTATTGTTGGTTTATCATCCATTATTGTGCTCACACTGCAAAAATTGATAAAAAAAAAAAAAACATGAGAGATAATGAATGTACATTCAGCTGAAGTGTGATCCCCCTCTCTGAATACATGGTGTGATGGTTCTCAGGTCCACTCAGATAAAGACATACTCGTGGGACAACGCCCAGGTGCTGCTGGTCGGAAACAAGTGTGACATGGATGACGAGCGAGTGGTGAACGGAGACAGAGGCCGGCAGCTGTCTGAACACCTCGGTGAGATTATTTAGCAAATACACACGATTACATCTATTATTTACTGGGAACTCTTTTTGGAACAATGATTTTCAGTCTGTCAGTTTGTGGTTAGAAACCATTTCACTATGAGTATTACGTCTTACCCACTACACTAAGGAAACTGCGCCGATGACAAATCCTCATTCGACCTCTTTGACGGTCTCCTGCACCTTGTTTACTCTCCAGGTTTTGAATTCTTTGAGGCCAGCGCCAAAGACAACATCAACGTGAAGCAGACCTTTGAGCGCCTGGTTGACATCATCTGTGAAAAGATGTCTGAGAGCCTTGACGCCGGAGATCCCGCTGTCACAGGGGCCAAACAGGGGCCCCAGCTGACAGAGCAGCCTACTCCTCCTCGCCAGGACTGTGCATGTTAAAGCTGATCCCCCCCCCCCCCCCTAAAAAAATCCTTTTGTCCCTTTTCCTCTTTTTTCATCCTTCTGCTGGACCCCTGGGGCCTTGGGTCCATCCTCCATCACACTTCTTGCTCACTATCCTGCTACCTTCTGTTCATTAGTAAGGATCATTGGCTGCGGGGCACAAGACCCAGGATGTAAAGAGTCTGAAATGCTCTGAGATATCCCTGGAACAGTTCTTGAACTGTGTTTTGTTAATAAGAAAGTTGAAAGGTGTCTTGTCTGATGCCAAAGCTAGTTCAATTAAACCAGAGTGTTTCAGACTCTATGCAGCCCCTGGTTTTTGAAGGCCTTGTTCTGTTGTCTCTCTGGTCCTCAGTGTGGTTTGACAAGAAGGATTTGACGGCGTCCAAGTGCCATTTAAATCCTTCCGATGTTTACAATACTTTGTTTCATGTCAAATGTCTTGAAAAGATGTCAGCCTCAGTTTATTGTGTCCAACAGAGCCGCAGGGGTTTCAGTTTCCTGTTCAATTCTGGATACACGCAGCATCTATCATACATAGATCTGTGTTTCATTTGTTGTCTCACCTGGTATCTAAACATAGAACATTGTGTTTTATTTTCTTAACCCATCTCAGCGATTTATTTTGTCTTTTTATGTTTTTACATTTCTTTTTTATATACTAGTGCCCCATTTATTCTTTTCATACATTAAACACTGGTTAGGGGAAATATGAACAAGACAGAGCTAGGTTTAAAAAAAGCAAAAAACTAAGAGACACATTTTATTTAATTATATTTATTTCAAATGTACGTATAAATGTTGTGCAATATATATATATAATATCTACAGGTATGCATATCTGGAAATGAATTTGAAAAGGAATGAAGTTCTATGTGGAGAGTGAAAAGTAAAGAGGTATGTGATGCAAAGTCAGTAACCTCCTACTGAGGGGGGGAAGCAGTGGAGTGACCCTTAAAGTCTGTATAACAAGTCGTAAGGTCACCCTAAAAATCCAATAAACTAAAAGGAAAGATTTTAAAGAGGCTCTAATATGATGGTTAAGTCCAAATGTAAGCAAGGATTTTTTTTGTGCAACACACGTGTAGTTTTGATGCCAACAATGCTACATGTAAATATTATAGTATTATACAGTTGGCAGAGGAAATCCTACAGGTGTGTGCTTTTGTCTGAGCTGGATGAACGCAAAGTCTTGAGGTTGAATTATGTTGTTGTAACAACTCGCAATATATGACTTCACACTCCAACGCAGAAAACTTTTAGTCCTGCAGAAATTATCATTCAAACAGATGTTCAATCTCCTACAATGAGGATACATGTTGCTTTTTTAGACAATTTCTATGGTAGATTGTCTTTTTCTGATAGTTTGAGCCCTAGTTAAAGTAAACATCAGGACAGATGTAAAAAACTGAAGAGAACAAGTCATTAAAAACCCATGTTGATTGAGACACACCCTCCTTTATCTACGCTGCTTTCTATCTGGTTTGCAGTATTTAGAATCAAATCTTTGGAGTGCAAATCAAATCATCTACCCCTCATGAGTTTCATGCACATTTGATGGAACTGGAAAGACTGGAGTGCAGTAATGTTCGCCTCTTAACCTGAGAGAATATGCAAGATCAAGCTACACTCTCTCGCTCTGTGATTTAATGTTCACATGTTTTGTGGCAGTAACACCCAATCATCAGACCTCCTCAGAGACAGAATAATAGATTATGATGTCGTCTGCCATGCTCAGTCTTTGGGTGACATGTGGAAAAGTCATTTGGTTTCTGTTGAGGTTCTCACTATAGTTTTTAATCCTTTGCAGGTTAACATTGAAGTTTGTTTTGTTGTGTTTTTTGTTCCAGCACTGTGTACTCCGCTTTTTTTTCCCCACCTCACCAAGGACTTCTGTAGAAACAGCTCACTGATTTGGCTGTAGGAATGCAAATTTCTAAAAGTTAAAAATTATTATACAATAAGTGCTGCTTGGTGGACCAGAGTGATTCGGAAAAAAATGAAGTGATCCCAGCAAATCTGGCTTTAATTTCGAGAGTAACTGCTACACAAATTTACTATCAGCAAGTGAGACCACAGACGAGCCACTGACTGTTCAAATCAGAAAACGAGTCCCTAATCAAGGTGGGAATGTTCTTTAATGGGGAGTGATGATCGTGACGAACCTGTGAGACAGTTTTGATCCTGCGTTTATATTTCACTTCTCACTGGTTGTGACTGTTTCTTTTCCAGTAAAATCCAAACTTTGAAACTGTTCTCCTTTCTAAAACGTCTTCCTCTCAATATAAACCAGATCTGTAAATACTGTATCTTTGAGTCATGTGTGTGGATTGTGTTGTATTGACTCAGGCTTGCAAGAGAAAAAAAAAAAAAAAGCAGTAAAAAAAAAGAGACGGTTAATCCCAAAAAGGAGCCATGTTGTTCTGTATCAGCATTCATTTCTAGGCCTGCTTGTGAATGAATGTGTCACTCTGTTACGAAGCAATACACACTACAGTAACTACACACAAAAAAACAAATGCCATCATGCTTGGTAGAGGTTGCCGACATTAGATCTACTACTAGCACGCAGAAACATGTTGGTCTGGTATCACTGCCTCTACAAATCCTGCTCAGTTTGGGCCATAAAGATGAGAGAATATGCTGTGGATGTTTTTATCTGTACTTTGTGGTAAGACAATAAAAAGTTACTATCAGTTAATTCTTGTTTTTGAAGATAACTTTTTTTTTTCACCTTTAGGGGGTGAGATGATTATTAACAAAGCTAAAATCCCCAAAATAATGGTTATAATAGATCAAAACCATGTGCTGCACCTGACAAGATGTTTTATCACGGACTGTAAGGTTTTGATCCACATTAATTGAATATAATGAAACATTGCTGTATCAAAATCACAGTCAGCTGAGTTTATCATCGACATTGTCCTTTTTGTGGCAATGTTTAAATGTCCTCCCAAAAGCCTCAAGGTGGCGCTGTTTCACTTTTTCAATGTGAAAATATCTTATTCAGTGCAAAAAGCAGCAGGTGAAAAAATAAGAATACCTCACTGCTGGAGGATGTAAAAAAAAAGGCCACACATTTTTTTGGCAGATGGCCATGTATTGACAACTAAAATCAAACCTATAGCCTACTGTTCCTATTTTGTGGCCATTTTTAAACGTTGTTCTCCAACCATGTAATAAAAGCTACTTCTATTTTTCAGTACAACCTGTGGAATCTGAAAATCTGTCCCCCACGGATGTCAGATGAAGCCCCAGATGGTTATTATACACGATAGATTAAAAAAAATAAAAGTGAAAATGAAATTGAACTTTTAAATATGAATGTAAAACGAAAAGGATTATGACATTTGGCCTCCTAAATGTATTATCCTTTGTCCTGGTGATCATTGGGAATTGAAATCAACACTGTTATCATAGATAAAAATGACGGCTCACATTCATGTTTTGGGGGGGGTGGACAGTCATTTTATATACACTGATCTTCACAGTGGGATAGAAAAGCCCCTGGGACGAAAAGAGTGGGTAAGTAGCTACATCATACCGTCCCATTTTTGGAGCTGATGAAGTAAAAGCGATATTCATTATGTCCTATAAGACAGCGTCGACCTACTTTAACCAAATTAACATATCAAAAGTGATTGCGCTAACATCCTTTGCAATTTCCAATTTAACCAGCAGAGGGAGAACGACACCAGAGTAATAGCATGGAAATTCATGCACACATTTAAAACCTACCATAATCTTACGTCCACTAAATACTGCATTAATTTAGTCTCCATCATGAAAGCATATTTAAATCTACTTCTAATGAAAAAATGTGTATATAAGGGTGATCCCATACAAACAACCTCTATAATGATATGTCAAGATTTATTTGTTTGTGATGAACTTGGTAACCTTAATTATTCTAGTCTTTACAATGTTTGGTGTAACTTAATTAAAGCACATATTGAAACAAATGTGCACTGTGCAATTAAAGTCAAAACAAAAGTATTCAGACCTACATAGCACCTGTTCAGCATTAATATTATTTGAATGTGGAAAAAAATCCTAAAATGACATTGACCAACAGAGTTTTCTGCCATTATAATTGAAAAAAATATCACAACTGCCACAATAGAGGAAACAGTGTTTATTGCCGAGCAGCATTAAATTCAGAACACAGCGGCATACAGCCAAATAACCAGAGAGGCCAGAGAAGACAGCAACAGTCAGTGCAAGAAATGGTCACAACTCTTCACATAAAATCAAGAACTCACTGACATAGGGACACAGTAGAGTAAAAAATACATAAATATGAGTTTATAAATTATTTGAAATAATTAACACTGATTAACTGCTTTGAAACCAAGTGTGGGCAACATTCGAGTAGTCAACTACATGCAAATGGATCCCTTCAGTATAATGTGGTAAACACTCATTTATTTAAATTATTCTTACATATTTAATGTGAGTTTATGTTTTTTTTTTCTTACAGGTAAATCCTCATATTTTAGGGATATATGTGCCATAAATGCACATATGTGCAACCTGTTTGGCCCATGAGATAGACACAGCCATTCTGTAAACATTTTTTTATACAAGAAAAAATAATCTAGATATTTGCAGCCCCCCCCCCCCCACACACCCCCCAAAAAAAGAGTGCGTCCATTTCTCAGCAGGAAAACTCATTGCAGGATAACATTTTCAAAAAAATAAAATAAATCCCCAATAGCTCTGCCTTCTTTACGTCAACAGAAGACTGGAGGAAAACTGGATTTAATACATCATACATGATTTCAGCATACATCCATTCAACTAACTGGCGGTTGTTCAACTTAAAATCCAATGATGCTGACTCGAGCTCTCAACCTTGTAGGTCAACTGTGGATCTTATTGGTTGCTGCAAAATGCTTTATAAATAAAACTGCAAGTAGTCCAAATGACTTGTTCCATTTGATTTAATCTTGTTTTACCAGATATGGTTGTTTGTGGATGCTCAAAGCAATTTAAATAGATGATAAAAAATTGTTGTTGTTTTTTTTGTCCTGCAGGTGTTTCATCTCACTTTGGACAGCACACACACACACACACACACACACACACACACACACACACACACCTGGGCTAACGTAGGCTACGAAACAAAACATTAACATAAGTCCACGAAGCTTATATGCTGGTCAGTATACAATATACTTCCTCCCTTGACTAGTGCACTTGAACTTCGTGTGGCATCAGCTGGCAGCCGCTGCTGACATGGGTGAGGACTTTCTCTTTCAACTGGGCCACTTGATCCCTGAGCTGACTCGCCGTGGAGGCCAGATCGGTGTTTTGGTTTTTCAGCGTTTTGACCTTGTCCTCCAGCCTGGAGATCCGCTCCAGTTTGCGCATCCGACACTTGGATGCTGCGATCCGGTTCCTGAGTCTCTTCCTCTCAGCTTTCATTTTTTCCTGTGAGTCAATATCGATGGGGGACAGCGGTGGGCTTTCCCCGAAGCTCTGAACGTCAGGCACCGTCTGAGGCTCCTCCTTCGGCGGCTGGACCCTAGAGAGATCCGGCTGCGGCGGGGTTGCCCCCAGATGATGCGGAGGAGGAGGAGGAGGAGGGAAAGGGACTGTATCTGTGGAGTAGTTGACGGTGGTTTCCAGAGGCCCACTGCCGTAACTATTCAAGTTTGTATAAACCGGTAGTTCCGGCTGGATGGTGCTCGGGGCGATGTTGGCACCCAGATCCAGGCTGCCGTCTGTCTGCCCGGCTCCGCTCAGCTGATTCTGCTTGTGCAAGTCCTCCAGCGCCTTCACGAAGCCCTCGGCGAACTCCTGTTCGTCCGTCACGGTTTTCGGGAAGAGGAACTGAGAGCTGGTGGGTGTCGTGGTGACCATTCCGTTGGACTGGATGATGAGTCTCTCCAGCTCCGGGGAGGCCAGTTTGAGTAGTCCCAGTTCCGGGGAGCTGAGGATACCCTCGGCGTCACGAAGATGCGGTTTGAGGTCCGGGTCTTCAACCATGCTCAAATGAATATCTTTCTTCATCATTATTGTCGCAGCCTAAATGAAAAGAAGCACCAACGCAATCCTACCCATAACCCCCCACAAACCTGTGGACTGAAATACCAGGTGTTCAATTCAAAAGCTGTCACTTCCCTGAAGCCGTCGGCTATCTTGTGCTCACGAGCAGGGTCTGAGTGTACTGCATGCCAGCACGCGCAGCCTCGAGCTTTTCAAGGCTCGTTCCATTATGTCACATACAGAGCGCGCGCGTCGAGCAGAAATTAGGTTTTCTGCTGGAAAGATGTCTCACTCCGCGCCACTTTCCAGTGTCCGACCCTCTACTGTAAACAGGAGGCAGTGCCAGGGAAATCAGTAGACATTTGTAGACCTATTGTTAACGGAACTGAACCTTAACACATACTTGCTCGTAGGAAATAGTTAAACTATATTTTATAAACTATAAAATATAGTGTTTTTTTTAATTGTGCGAATTCAGGATGCATGTAACAGAAGTTATAGGCTAGGCATATATAGCCTATATATATATATATATATATATATATATATATATATATATATATATATATATATATATATATATATAAGGCATATTTACTGTGAATATGGGGTTGTCATCATAGACTGTAAATATTGGTTACATCATACACTTACGTTGCCTTGAGTCCTTATTCCTGTGGCAAGTGTTAAAACTTCAAACATATTAACAGCGTCTTTTTTGTTTTGGTTAATATTAAATAAATTGAGTAGACTCCAACAAAAAAAAGCAACAGTTGTTTTTAGTAATAGGCCTATTTACAGTCTATGATTAGTAGGCTATGTATACAAAAACAGATAACCAAAATAAAATCATTTTCAAATAGTGACCCCGAGGAAAAACTAATATGAGGTTTGTTTTACCTATTTATGTGTAAAAGTCCCTGACAGACACCAAATGTGATGTTAGAGGATGCAACTTTATTCATTCATTTATAGATGATCTTTGGTACCTCTTCTATTGCCATGGAGATATGAGTGTTGGAACTTCAGACAGTGAGGTGTGCATTGGGGTTAGATGTTATGATATTTTCACTTGTTGGATGCATATCTTGTTTATATTTTTAAACAAGTACACTAACATTAGTAGGATATGATTCCTCTTATTTTTCTAATGTAGCCTAATGTAAAAATGGCAATTGCTAGAAAGCAGGATAAAGTGGATACCAAATATAACTCTGGAAATAGACAGTGATTTATGTGTCCAAGATAAAAGGTTGTTTATGTCCCCTCAGCCAAAGCACCTTTCCTGGGAATCATAATTAGGAGAAGTTTAATCTGAAACTGGACTTGTTTCAACACTTCCTCTGGCCAGTTCAAGTTATTTTTTAATTAGATAACATTCAATTGTCCATTTCCACTCAATTAGCCTACATTTCTTTAAAAAAAAATAGGCTGGTATGAATTGTTAATTGTAGGGTAGTACTTTGATATAACTAATTTAACAGGTCTAAACAATGTCACAATCTAGCCTACTAGGGTTGGAAAGATATTAGGACAGTCATGTTTAAACAAATGGAGTTGCATAGCCTATACTGGAAATGCTTCATGCAGTATTACTTAGGCCTATTGCATTATAGGTCTAAGTAACTAGGGAGTAACATTCTTGAACAGAGTAAAGTAAAAGTAAAAATCCCCCAAATGTGGCATTAAGCATGTTTCTTGCTCCTCTGCATCATGCTAGCCCAAACAATGAAGTAAGTTATTAAAAAATAACAAGAGTCAGTCTTTTCACATCCACAGGAAATACAATGAATAGGATCTTTTGGTGTGGTTTTGTGAGCTAAAGTAAGCTTGCTTGTCATCATGGACTAATTAGGGAAAACCCTGCAGTGACATTAATCATCCCAGGGGTGAGCTGAGTGGTAAATTGTTTAGTTTTTCATTTGTAAATGACATTATCTGCTAATTCATGAATCCATAAAGCACTATAATGTACAATCAATTTGTGAAATGTACTAAGTGACAGCATTGTTTTTTGTGGATTTAAACATTTAAACCAGTAAAGCAGTTTGTAAGAAATGAAAAGCCATCTGAAGCTCTTGAACCGCTTTAAGTATGGAGGGAGTTGGGTATTGATGACAGTGTCATCGGCATTAAAAGGTGCATTTTCTTTGACGTCTTCACCCAGGTCATGAATTAATCAGGTCCCAAAATAGAACCTTGGGGAAAACATTTAGTTCACTTCATAGTCATTAATCTTTCCTGGCCATTGCGTCTTTAATTTCACCCGGATTACTGTGGCTTGCTATAAATGCACTTCAAGCTAAAATAAATATATTTTGGAAATATTGGTGTGATGTTTCGGGTTTTAATATAAAATTAAATATGTTGCTAATAAATTGGCCCTTGAATGTGTTTGACAAGTCTGGATGTGTATCCTTTTTTTGTAGGGTTTTTAAAAATATATATATACAGTTGAAAACAGGATAGTTAATACATTTTTCAGCGTAAATTGTAATAATGCAACTCCAAATCCATTTGTTTCCACATTTTGTAAAACAATGATCCTTGTGTCCTTCACCAAACAGTTGTCTGGCTTGTAAAGGGTTACGCAGAGGAGGTACGTGCGTCACAGGTAGACCCCATCCTTTACTGCAAATGTGGGTGGATCACGTGATCGACCCTGTGATGTCAGATCTCCTTACTTTGTGCCGGAAATGGAGGTGGGAGGAGGGGGTAAACCAACAGAGGAGGGATATTTTTGTCTTCATCACTGTAGAGAGAGTGGGGGTGCAGGGCCTGAAGTCTAGAAAAAAAGACAAGCAGTAGCTGGAAAAATGATGTAACATTCACACATCACATTTTTCAACACTCCTTTCTGTCACTTTTAACACACCAATACAAAATACAAAAGTGAACACAGCTGAAAATGTGCTCCCTCTAATAGACCTAATAATTGTTCAGTAATGCTAATGAATTTCATATGATATTTTTAACACACTTGTCATTAGTGTGTAAAAGCAAGGCAGGTCATAATTTTAATTTACATCAAAAATAATACAAATAGTTGTCATAAAATGTCCCTTACTTACTTAAAGGGTTGGATGAAACTTGAGAGGATTAATGTCTCACCCTCTGGGGAACTTAAATGTTCTTATTGTCATTTTAATGCTTCCAGTTGTCAAACTATTCAACAATGGAAGAGGTTTGCTGAAAATAGAGTACACACTGTTACATCACCCATTGCTTTTTTTGAGCTAATGTTTTGAAGCCTTGAGTAAGATTTTTTTCAACTGGATTGGATTAGAGGGAGAATGCCCAAGAGGCTGGCATTAGCACCATGCAGACAGCAAGCAGTATGCATATAATTTAAACCTTTTAGATGATTTTAAAGGGTTATAAAAATCCCCCCGACCCCTGGTCACGAATGGGAAGATAAGCTGTTAAGAACAAAACTATCTTTTGTTACAGGCATTTGGCCATTTACCAAATGCCAACTGACAACAGTCATTATCACTGTTAGAGCCACCCCAAGCGCCAAAGTTCGCCAAGTTTGACAATACATACAAGAAATAGTTCTCAAAAAGGTTTACAGTGGTCATAGTGATAAAAATACCTGTGGGATGCAGCATAACAAACTGTACCTGCTCCATAAAGTTTAGCACTAAAACTGATCTGATGAGGATTCCTGACGAGGTATTGGGAAATGTTCCTGAAAAGAAAAAACACTCATTAAATAGTATTAAAGTGTGTCATCCTGTAATAGATATGTCACATGACTTCTAAATGTTCTAAATTCTTTAAACATGAGTCTCCATTAGCTGAGGAGTAATCTCAGGCCCCTGGCAACAATATTTTTCTGGTGACTTTGTTACAGAGGCAAGTCAAGGCAGATAGTGGTGAGCTGTCAGGAATGCTTGGCATCACTTGTTGCTGTTCAATCTCTGCTGTGCCTGACACCAAAAGGGAGCAGGAGTGTTTGAACTAAGCTGTGCAGCATGTGTTTAATGTGTTGTTTTACTGTGAGCAGGGGAGTGAAGCAGATCCCCTCTGTTGTGATAGAGACCTATTTTCCCCTTTTTATCCCAATAATTTCTTGTGAATCAACTGCAAGTTTGAGAATCAATGAAGCCCATTGCACAAGTAAAGTTTTAGATTCTGTTTTTTCAAGAGTACATTAATGATGTTAAAAATTGCGAGAGGCCTTTGTATTATAATTCTGTTAATGTAGAGTATTTATCCTGCCAACAATGGGGAATGGCAAGTGACTTTCTTTTGTGTGAACTTGTCTGTTTAAAAAATAAAACATATCAAACAGATATATATATTCTCAGTTATTTTGCAGCTCGATAAACGTGATCATTATGGGCTTATATCCATATAAATACTATTTTATTTATTGTACGTTTGGTTATGACCTATAACATATTTCAAACTTGACAAACGTTTTCACAGCATCTGCTCTCCAAATAGCCATGTCTAATTTGGCCGAATATTAAAAATATTGTCTAAATTATTACACATCCACTGGCCAGGTGTGTTGTTTCAGAAATGTTGAGTTTTCTCTTTGATCTGTAATTATTTGTTCAATATTTAATGAATTCAATTCTGACAAGTAGAAGTAGGCTACACACATACTTGAGTCCCACTAACCTGCTCCACTGAGCTTGATGACGTAGCACCAAAGTGTAGGTGAAGTTCCATTCTCGTAGAGGATGTGGGAACCCCATGCACAGACTGTGTGTGTGTGTGTGTGTGTGTGTGTGTGTGTGTACGTGTGTGTGTGTTTTGCTGGTTTGCACGAAACACACCTTTTCCCGCACACAGATTCACACTGACAAATGCATAGCCCATAAACCACAAAACCTCATCAGGTCTGCAGATTTTATTGGTTAAAAATATTTTGTTTAACAAAACTAACAAACCATAGGTTATTTCTGTAACTGGGGTATAAACATGCATTCCTGCAAATCCTCAAATCGTTTTGTTTTTTTTATCTCCAAGATTACACCAATGCATGTCAAGATATCAGTGTAACCATTGCTTTACCAGCTTGGTTATCTTTCTTCGCTTTGTAGTTCTAATATGAAAATGAGTGTAATTGTATACGTTTCCTGCATAGCCTAGGTGTGTTACGTCTGCAATCTAAATGTTCCACTGAATCAATATGTCATTGTGGTGGCAGACATGTGCCTCATTCACATCATGGTTGTTTCCATCCATTTTGTGAATATAAAACC